ATTCGCGACTTATGTTTGAAAGTTTTTTGAGACTGACTCCACAAAGATACGATTAAATAATGCGATCCCATAATTTCCTATACGACTCCAAATGGGTTAGCGACCCATAGTTTAAGAAGCATTGGTTTAGGCCATAAATTCTTTCGCCATGTTAATTTTACCAAAATCCTCAAGTTTCATCAAAATTTCTAACTGATATCTTTCGAACAGTTTCTGAATTTTTAAATTCGGTTCAGCATTTGCGCAAACATGGTCGAAATATTTTGCACTTCTATTAAAAAGCTTCTAATTAAAAAATAAATTTTAATTGCACTGCTAATTAAAAAAGAAACGGCTTTGCCGATCGCCTCGCAAAACTAATCAACGCAGTTTCATATCGAGTTTAATCAAAACGCCTTTAATATTGAAATCGGCCCTGTCGCCCTTAAAAAATGTCGAGGAAAATTTAAATTTGGCTCATAACACAAAAAAACTGACAATTCTTTCAAACTTCAATGAATTTTTTACAAAAACATGTTTTATACAACACATGTCCAATTATTAGAAAAACACAACTAAGTTAAATCTTAAGATAGAACTGATAAATATTGCATACGTTTCGAATTACCATTTGACTCATCTTCAGTGCATAAACTACAAAGCATAAAATGATATAAAATATAACAAAAAATATTTACGATGAGTCAATGAATAAAACATATTATTTTTTAATTATTTCAATAAATTGAATTTTATTCAAAAATAATAATAATAACTTTCTGTAAAATAAGTACGTTGACAATATCTAGCTAAACATATTGCACACATTTCATATATAATATTTAATACTTATAATTGCATCAAAAAATCACAACGGATAAATTTCCAACAAACCAATTGGAGACATGGAAAATGATCTTATTTAAACATAATTAAAAACTAAATAAAAAAAACAAGGATAACAAAATGTAAAAAATTATATAATATATATATATATATATATAAAATAAATGTAAAATAATATCCAGTAACAACATTCTATGAGAATTAGTAATAATTTCATAACAAACTATATTGTTTTAGTTTTGCAAAAATTTGGCAACAACGCAGAGTTCTCAGATGTGTTTATTGATGTGATAGTGATTTATATTCTATTATTAATTATTAAATATTTAATAAAATTGCAAATTTAAATTATAGACGTATAATTATGCAGAAATAAATCGGTAATGGGCAAATTATAAAAAAAAACAATATTCCAAATTAAAATTAAATAAAAGGTAAATTGTAAAATATTACACAAAACAAAATTGTTCAAAAACTGTAATAAGTCCAGTGAAATCGTAAAATCATATTCGAAACCATGTTACCGAGTTACGTAACCATTTACTTTGATGTACGTAAATTTACGTACAATTACCAGTTTTACCAATATAATAAAGAACTTACATTAATTTTTTGTTTAGTTGAAATTTAAAGTACGCAGAGTTGCTGTAGAGCTTTATGTAATAGATAATATTGCAGATTATTTAATTTTGAACAAAATCATATCAATCGAATGGTTTAAAAGTTATAAAAGATATAATGACAAAGCGCAAGCCAGTTTCATGAACAAAAGTTAACTCGGTATAAATAGTAAGAGGGCTAGTGTAGATATTATGAAAAATTTTGTTCTCCGTTTTGTTGCCAAAAAAATATATATAAATTAGTAAATAAGTAAATTTCCGAGAATATTTTATATATAATAATATTTCAACTACAAACTAATGAGATTTTTAATATGGAATGGCTTCGTGTTACTAAAAACTACAAAACATAAAAATTTACCATACACAAAAAAATAATACTGTTTTCTTTAAAAAAAATATACATGACTATTAACAAAAATGGAATGTATAAACTATTTTCATTGATGAAACTTAAATTAAATTAATTAAACTAAATGATGACTAGATGACGAGATACGAACGGAGTAGTGTTGGACCGGTGAATACAGAATATCAAAAATTCCCTAAGTACTAATAATATTAATTTTTATATATCACAATAATAATAATAATAATAATTGCAATATTATTAATAATAATTGTTAATCTTCTCCAGAGATGTTATCGAGTAAAGCTGTTTACGTGATATTAATGGTTTTAATTTGATAAAAAAAAATTATTAATACACAATATAATTATATAACAACAATAATAATAATAACTGCATTATTAATAATAATAATGAATTTTTAAATTAGATTAATATTTGTCGAGTGATGCCGAGTAAAGCTGACTCCGTGGAATGGGATTAATGGTGAAAATAATTTATAAATTTGTTAATAAAACTTATATAATTATATAAAAAAAATCTATAATAAATGTTTATAGTCGCTATAAAAATTTACAAACTACGAGAGAATGATGAAAGACAGAGGACAGATATTGTCTCTATCACAACACTATCTGTCTCTGTTTTTCGTTTTACTACCACAAACTCTGTATCTGTCTCTTGTTTTATTACCACAGCTCTATCTGTCTCTCTCTATCGTTTTACTCCCCACAACAGATTTACTCACAGAGTTATGGTAGTAAAACGAAAGACAGAGACAGATAGTATTGTGGTAGTAAAACGAAAGACAGGGACAGCAGTGAGTAAAAATTAGGTTTTTGAATATCACAATTCAATCAATCATGATTATAATGGCAATAGAAGTGTTATTAATTATAATAATTAGCGTTAGAGTAAAACTTAGCGCCGTGGATTAAAATTGTTGAAAATAATTATTGAAATAATTGTTGAAAAGCAATGTCTGTAGTTAGTATCTATTTTTACAAGAGAACGAGGATAGACCACAACACTATCTGTCACTATCTTTCGTTTTACTACCATAACTCTGCCTCTGTCTCTTGTTTTACTAACACAACTCTATCTGTCTCTCTCTATTCTTTTACTCCCATAACAACTTTATACAATAGAGTTCTAGGAGTAAAACGATAGACAGAGACAGATAGAGCTGTGGTATTAAAACAAGATACAAAGACAGAGTTGTGGTAGTAAATCGAAAGGCAGAGACAGATAGTGTTGTGGTAGTAAAACGGAGACAGAGATAAAGCTGTGATGTCTAATCTAATCTAATTTTTACAAGAGAACGAGGATAGACAAGGACAGATATAATTGTGGTAAAACGAAAGCAAGCATCTGTGTGGGAAAATCTAGTTTTTTTATATCACAATAATAATTAAGAGCTAATTAATGAAAAAATAATAACTAAATTGCTACAAAAATTACTATTTGATTAAAAAATCTTTTGTAAAGCTAAAAAAAATCTAAAATCTCTGCTAACACAAACAGCAAAAGAACAAAAATAGACAAGGACAGATAGAGGTGTGATTGAAAATCGAGGGACAAGGACAGCATGAGTGTAAAAACGTAAATAAAAACGTAGTAAAAATTTAAACAAGTCTGCGATTTTTTTAATTTGTTCAAATAATGCTAAATTGTTAACTGATTTTTAATTTAATAAGTTTATTACTCGAAAACTAAAAGTTGCGTATTAAAAATGAATTAATAACGAAAAGAATGTATAAATTAGTTAAAAAATATTAAAGCTTACAAAATGTCTTACAATGTTTTAATAATAACTATTTAATGTTTACGAACACAAACAGCGAGAGAACAAAATTAGACAAGGACAGATAGTTATGATTGAATCTCGAGGGAAAAGGACAACATGAGTGCAAAAATTAAAAAATGTGCAATTTTTTTAAAATTTGTTCAAATAATGCTAAATTGCTAATAGATTTTTTAATTAGCTTACTGCTCAAAAACTGAAAGTTGTGTACTTAAAATAGGATAAAATAAAAGTTGTATACGGTAATTGGAATTAATAGCGAAAACAATTTTATAAATTAGTTAAAAAAATATTAAAATTCACAAAATTTCTTTGAATATGTAGTCCTATAACATTTTAATAATAACTATTATTTAATGTTAACGAACACAAACAGCGAAAGAACGAAGATAGACAAGGACAGATAGAGTTATGATTGAATTTGTGAAGATTGAGGGACAAGGACAGCATGATTTTGTAAAGATCGAAGGACAAGGACAGCAAGATTTTGTAAAAAAAAATGGGTAAAAGAGTTATGTTTGAAAACTCTACAGGCGTTAGTATAAAAATATTATTTTAGATTCGATAAAAAATAATTCTGATAAAAAATCTTCGATTTTTTGTAAAAATACGTTCACAAGTTTGTATTTACATATATGCAGATTAAAAAAAATATCATTGATTTGTTTGAAAAATTATACGTATACGAGTATGTATATATACATATACCATTACTTATAGAATTTTTTATTTGTGATTTTTTTCAATCTAAATATATGTATATATTAAACCCTTTTCTTAAAAATCAATCATTTTTTCCTCATCTTTCTAAGAAAATCAATATCTAATATACTTGTATAATTTTCTAAGACAAACAATTTTTCCCCAATCAAATTTTTGATCCGGCCTAAAATAAATTTATGATTTTATTTACGATTAATTAAAAATAACATTTCATAATCGTATGTAGAGTAACATTCAAAAAAATAGATACAGTTATTTTTTTTTTAAACGTTTGTTCATAAACATATCATTATGTTTTCATTTGCAAATATTCTAATATCTTATTGAATTTATTTTCAATTATATTTAATAGATTTGATTCAACAAATGGATGTTAATAAAAAAGTATTACAAATTGAAATTATTTTTACCATTACAAATCCCATTCTACGTTTTTCAAAGTCGATAATTATCATTATAATATAAATAGTTCAAATAATTTTAGTAAGAGAGCCAAATTAAAAACTATTCAAAATGCTAAGTACGTATAAATTTGCTTGAGTGTCATGTAAATGTATTGTGGGACTTTATTCGCAAACTTAAAAAGAGGACAAATATCTGAAGTAATTGTATTTTATAATTCATTCCTTAAAAGTTTGCAAAATCAGGCAACTATGTGTATATTTTCTAACTTACTCAGTAGCTAATTCCTTAACAAAAGTTCCCGACCGTTCCATCTGCGGAATAATTTTTTGCGGAGCCTCCTTTTCTTTATTCGGATCACTCTTCTTCTTCTCGTTCACCACCTTCTTCTTAGTCGGGACCATCTTGGCAGCAGAACTCTTCGTAGGACTCGTTAAAGTCCTGCTAACTTTAAAATTTGTCTTGACAGGTATTTTGTTAGTCGCTTTGTAGGACGTGATGTTTTTATTAGTTTTCTTATCGCCGAATTTTGGTTTTTGTTTTGCACAACTTAATCGGTTGTCGCCTTCATCCATTGTTGGTGTTAAAGAGTCTGTGGACATTGTTTTCAGTCTTTGCGATGATGCCAGACTGTCTAAGGACATGTTACTTGACTCACCTTTTTTGACAACACGACCTTTGGGACTTGGAGTGCGACTGATGTCGCTTGAAGACAGCAATTTGTTCTTCATGTTTTGGTTCTTTTTGATCGGTGCTTGCTGCTCCAAATCCCGCTTTCGCGGTTCTAAGTACCTCGGCTTAGCATGGGCGACACGAGCTGATAAAGCTTTTAGTTCATAAGACTTCGTTGTTTTAACAATTACTTCAGATTGTGATCTTTGTCTGTTGCTTGCAGGTTTAGCCGTGTCTGCGGGTTTAACCGAACCTTTAGCCTTCAATTTAGAGTTTTCTATTGGTATACTCTTATTGGATGAACTTTTACTAATACTTCCAGCTTGATTCTTCAAATTCCTAATTCCCTGATTTTTATCAAACTTTTGCGGAACTGGTAAACTCTTATTCTGAGTCGCAGTCTTTGTGGTAATGTTGTTTTGAATTTTAGTGATATTTTGTTTATTGTTCGATGAAGCATTATGGACAACATCTCGATTATTATCATACAGTTGCCGATTGTTGTCTTGGGACAAAGCTCGTGTCGCATTCGCGTGGATCACTTGACGAATTTGTTTTAAGTCTTGGCTACGGGTCGAACTTGTACTCTGAAAGGAAAAAAATAAAGAAAACATAAGATAAATGAGGAACATAAGATCGTATTATCAAAGTGAAACTTCTATCGCGACATCATATAAGATTATGTTAAAGGTTTGGAGAAAAAATAGAAAGAAATAGAGCAAAAATGTATGCGTAGCACTTTACTCAATACGCCACAACTATAACATTTAAAAAAAAAAACTAAAATAATCCAGTAATATCAAGTACTCTAAAGCAGCTTCACACATCAAAAACATCTTCAAATGTTTAGAAGATCTTTATATAATCTAAAACATTTTAATTAGACTTGCACCGAACATACGGTTATTATTCGGTAATCAGCATATTTGGCACCTTTTTTGATATTCGGCCGAATACCGAATAACATCTTACTATTCGGCCGAATGCCGAATATTTAAAATCAAAGGAGCTGCCGCCGCTTAGTTAAAATATTGTGCGTTTTATCTGTTATGCGATAAAGAGCTTGCGATGGATCTGTATTTGGAAGTCTATAGTTTACATAATATGATATAAACAAATTAATTCGTTATTATATTTGGTATACATAATAATTTAAACTTTTTCGATTTTTGAGATTATAAACGAACACGTGAAGATGTCTTTCGTCTATATTCAAAGAACACGTTATTGTTATATGTTTATGTTAAGAATCATTCAACGGTTATACGCTATATTCAATAAAGTCATTCATAATATTGAATACAAGCTTTTCTAAATAAAGAACTATCACAGGCTTTTTATCTTTAAAAAATACGAACAATATTTTTGGTCAATTTTTATTTATTTTATTATGATTAGCCTGCCTAATATATAAAAAATAATATTGTGTGTATAAATGAATATATTAGAGGGATATGAAAAAAATAATTTCAAATATATTTACATATATATGTAAAGAATCGCATTTTGATTTATTTCGCTTTCACATATGTTATTTAAGTATTTGGTAAGAGTAACCGAATGGTCGTTGCAAGCCTACCTAGGCATAAAAATTGAATATACCATTTAGTACGTTATACTAATATACCAACTGCGAATACAATTACATTAATACGAACGTGTTTAGGCTCTAAAAACTGGCCAATAGTTGCCGAATATTCGGTATTCGGTGTCTGGAGCATGCCGAATATTCGGTATGTTATTTTGCCGAATATAGTATTTGTTGCAAGCCCAATTTTAATACAGTCTAAAACAAGGGTGAGCAACTTTTTTAATCCACAGGTCAATTTAAATTATTGAAATTAGAAGCAAGCGGCATATATTAATAATTTTCAAAATTTGAAATAATAATTGTTTACATGTTTACCTTTTTGAATTGAATCAATAATAATGAATTATACTGATCATTTTTGACCTCCAAGAGTCAATTTTTTAACTTATTACGAAAATTTTGTATACGCCTTCGTCAATACAAAAAAAAAATAGAAATCACATGCTCCGTCCTATCAAAAACTGAGTTGGCATTTTTAGCACTTCCGAAACGGTTGGAACTCTTTGCCAAAAACTAATCATCACGTGATCTTGTCAACAGAAATCGAATATTTTTTTAATCACTCAAATTGGTTAATTGGTGCTCCCAAAATCATCGACAAAAAATTGCATGCACACAAAACACACACACATACATCTTTTTTTTTTAAATAACAAAAATATTTGTTTTTAATTTAGTTAAAAAAGTAAATATTTCATAAATTAACGCAACAAGAAAAAAAATATATTGACGGGAAAAGGTGATAAAATTCTATTTTAAATATAAATCTAAAATAAAAACTAAAGCATGTACTCTAATGAATAATAGGATATCGAATTATATTATTATTTATAGTTATATTTTTATATATTTATAGTTTGACTCAGGTTTTTCAAGAAATATTGAAAAAAAAATGATCACAAACATTTCCTAACTTATTTTAATTACCATAATACATCTAATTGTAGTTGCTATAGATTTAGATATTTCTCCACTCAATTGAAATGATAATTAAAAAGGTGCTGATCAATTGTGATTTGTCATTGAATCAATTTAAATAAAGTTTGTCTTAAAAAACCAACACGAGTTCACTAAAAATCAATTTCTACCTCTTCAATCAATTACATTTCTACATTATGAAGTTTCATTTTCCTTGCGTACTATTTATTGATACGAAAATCCTTACCCTGGCACTTCTCGGCGTCCTATTCCTATTGTCAACTGCCATTCTCAAATCGTTGTTACTATTTCCAAAATTATGACTGTTTCCATTGGCAGTCATCAGTTCTTGAATTCGTCGCCTCAACTTCGGTTCAAGTCTCGACCAAGAAATGGCTCTTGTGGCTCTCGAACCTTGCTTTGCCAAACATCGCTCCACCGAGGAAGTTAACTCTTCTACCAGACTGACAAACTCCTAAAAAAAGTTAATAAATGAATCTACTATACAAAAAAAATGAAATAAATAAAATATTGTGGTTACTTACTGGATGCCAAGAAGTATCCATATCCCCCGACCCATCATTCACACTCTGGTTGATCTCAAAAATCTTCTCTCCAATCTGGTTGTTATGTTTATCAGGTGTCATTTTAGACAATCCAGAAGTGCTCAATCCGCACCTGACTAATGTTCCCAACCTGGCCAGACGTTGGTAACTTCTACAAGCTTGTTCTGGTGCCAATGTACAAGCTGCTTCATTTAAAGTTGTCCGTAGACGAGATACGTTTCTCCACATCAGTCCACCCAGGGACAAGAAACTGAGAGTAAAGGAAAATTAGTAGTACAAAAACTCCCAAGTTAATGGAAAATCATGGATCAAAGACTTAGGGAAAAGTCCCTTAACGCCGTATGGCACCAAGTACCGGACGGTCTATTTAACACGTATTATTTAAGCAAGTATAAATCTTTTCGTTTCAAAATACAAGTGAAAGGGACATTGAAGGCACACAGGTACAGGATTACGCGCCAAGCCTCGCCTGTGACGCACACGGCCACGGCGATAGCAACCCTTTCCTGTTTTAGGCGCAAAATCACGGCATCACCTAAATATCAATGGAAGTATTTCTAGCATATTTATGCATTTACATTTGAGTGGTATGCAAAGATAAAAGTTGTACTTGAATGTTATCCGTAAAATGGTAGAATATTATTAGATCTCTTAACCAATTTTAGTAGGTGCCACCAAATGAACAAAAATGTCTGTCCCTTAGCACCGGACAGTAAACATATTGATATTTCTTGTGAGAATATACATTTAATTTTGTTTTGTATGAGTGCTAACGGTCACTACATACCCAGATGTTTCGTATGTCCTAGTCAAAGAATGAGAAGCTTATTGTGAATGTACCAGCTGAAAGCATCGGTGTGGATGGATAAATAGTGACTTTTTTTTGCAATATCTATGAATATTCATCAAAGACACATGTGCAGGCATTCCAGAGTGTGGAGATGGCTACATATATGATCAATTCAGGTTATTTTGAAATGTCCGGTACTAGGTGCCACTGTTTAAAATCATATTTTTTGATACCAAAGTTTGATTGATAGCATTAATTATTTTTTAGCAAAGATTGCGGTTTTGTTAATTTAGTTTGATTTCTAACTTTGTTGTCTAACGTAAATCATAATTTAATAAACATTTCGTAAAATACTTTTTGATTTATTTAAAAATAACCTTAGGTGTCCGCCTCTAGGAGACTTCCCCCTATTGCATAAAGTGCAATACATTTTCAAATATGGTTCACCATGATAAAAATACAGCTACTGGTTTATCATTGTTATCAAGTATTATTTCCATTTACCTGTTAGCAGTTAGTATAGCAGGGAATTTATCAGCAACAAACATATGAGCATGTTCCAACAATGACAAAGTAAGTGCTTCAACTCGAGTAGCCCATCGTGTTTCTGGTAGTTCGCTTAGCAAGCATTCACAATCCAGAACTGTACCCAAGACGTTTTCAGGACTCTGATCAGAGAAACAAAACTAGTTGTAAGAAGCATTTTACCTGAAGGGGCACGTTGAATGAACTTCTCGACATGTGTAAATAATAAATAAGAACATATGTAACGCCTTGAACGATCGTCGCGCAAAACTGATAAAAGCGAATCTCTAATCGAGTTGTATTAAATGGCTATTAAATTTGATTATGTCAAATTATAAATTTGATTTGGAACTAAGATTATGGTAAAAGTCTATGCTAAAGTGTTTCTTTTTTATTTGAGGCCATTAAACTACGAAGTATCTTTCCAAATGGATCCTAACTATAATATCTGTTGAATCATGTCTTTTTTATTGATGGTAACTAAACTATAAAGTATCTTTTAAAATAAATCCTAACTATAACTATCTCTTTTCTTATTGGAGGCCACTAAACTGAAAAGTATCTTTTAAAATAGATCCTAACTATAACCATCTCTTTTTTATTGGACGCCAGTAAACTGTAAAGTATCTTTTGAAATAGATCTTAACTATAACTATCTCTTCCTAACTATAACAATCTCTTTTTTATTGGCGGGCACTACACAAAAAAGTATCTTTTAAAATAGATCATAATTACAACCATCTCTTTTTTATTGGAGGCCACTAAACTGTAAAATATCTTTTAAAATAGATCCTAACTATAACTTTTTTATTGGAGGCCACCAAACAAAGAAGTATCTTTTAAAATAGATCCTATCTATAAAAATCTCTTTTTATGGGAGGCCACTAAACTGATAAAATCATTTAAAATAGATCCTAACTATAACCATCTCTTTTTTTTGGAGGCCACTAAACTGAAAAATATCTTATAAAATAGATCCTAACTATAATCATCTCTTTTTTATTGGAAGCCACAGTATCTTTTAAACTAGATCCAACTACAACCATCTCTTTTTTACTGGAGGCCACTAAACTGAAAACTATCGTTTAAAATCCACGTTATTTTGAAAAAAATAAAATTTCACAAATGAGAAGGAGTGTCATCCCCCCGAGGGTGGCAGCAGAGTCCAAATTGTTTTCACTTTTGAACTTGAGGATAAAATGAACCAATTTCAAAATTTCATGCCAATCAGAGCACCGTAAAAAAATTCAGACCCAAAACGCTCCTTTGACTGGAGTATAACAAGAGATAGAGCAAAAATGAATCCAAAGCACTTTGCCAAATATTCCACATCTATAACATTCACATAAAAAAAAAAAACAAAAAAACTAAAGTAATCTGGTAATCTGCAATATCAAGAAGTCTAAAACAGCTTCATACATCAAAAACATATTCAAAATGTTTAGAACATCTTTATATAGTCAATCTTTTTAATAAGCAATCTTTTTAATCCACGGGTCAATTTGTGGCAAGCAGTACATATTAATAATTGTCAAAGCTTGAAATAATACTAATAAAATATAAGCATTATAATATGAAAAATTATACCGTTAACGAGGTGCAAGTGGCATTAATTACCAGTAATAATTTGTATATGATCTAGCTCTATAAAAGCCTACTTGTTAACCTGTATAAGTGTCCACCTGTTTGCTTTTCTAGCTGTTTACCTGTACTTTCCTACCTATGGACCTGCCTACCAGTCAACTTTTTTACCCGTCTAGCTGTGTACTTGTCAACCTGTTTATCTATGTACCTTTTAAGTATCTTTTAAAATAAATTCTAACTATAACCATCTCTCTTTTACTGAAGACCACTAAACTGAAAAATATCTTTTGAAATAGATCCTAACTACAACTATCTCCCTTTTTATTGGAAGCCACTTAACTGTAAAGTACGTACGTAAAGTAAGTCTTTTAAAATACAGTAGAACCTCGATTATTCGGACCTCGGTTATACGGATTCGCGATTATTCGGACATAATCGCGTCGGAACTTGCATATTCTGATGTGCATATATACATTAATATATTCTCTATTTTGACGTGCATATATACATTTTTAAAGGGTGGTGTTATCCCTTACATATAAAATAAATATTATAGAATCATTAAAAAGGCGAAACCGGCCGTAAGTTAGCTGATAGGTATAGTGTAGTGTAGATACATCCACTATAAGCGATATTAAAAAGAATGCCGCTTCAATTTTGTCGTACACTTGCAAGTTAGATAGTAAAGAGGGTAGTGAAAATCGGAAAATGCTGAAGAGACCAAAAAATGAACTCTTAGAAGAAGCTCTATATTGTTGGTTTTTACAAAAACGATCAACAAATTATTTGTAAGCAACTTTTTTTCTTCATTGATACTTTACGTACCACCTGAAGAATATTTTAGCTCATGTTAATATACTATGTATAATGTAATCTAAGAAAATATGTAAGTGTTAATTTTCTAATAAACATCGATTTTTGTTGATATCTATGCATTTGTTATTTTTGATGAACAAAACATTATTCTTCATAATTTGGATTATCCGGATTTTCGATTATCCGGATGCCTATCGACGACAATTCAACAAAGTCCGGATAATCGAGGTTCTACTGTAGATCCAAACTAAAACCATCTCCTTTTTATTGGAGACCAGTAAACCGTGATATATCTTTTAAAATAGATCCTATCTATAACCATCTCTTTTTTATTGGAGGCCAGTATCTTTTAAAATAGATCCTAACTATAATTAACTCTATTTTTATTGGATGCCACTAAACTGTAAAGTATCTCTTAAAATAGATCCTATCTATAACCATCTTTTTTATTGGAGGCCACTAAACTATAAGGTATTATTTAAAATATATCATAACAATGACCTCAATTTCAACTCTTCAACAATACAAGTTTTGCCCCACAAATTTAATTCTTTAGCATTGACAAGAAAATTACAATTCTCTTATCCTTAATTTTTATCTCACCAGATGTGCAATGATGTGTCTCCTGGCCCTTTCCATCAAGTCCGTGGACAGTGTAGCAAAAGGCCTGGTGGGCCACACCCTCAGGAAGTGCCTGCAGAGCCATCGGACGCAACGCGCGTGCAGTTCGTCCAGGCCGTGACCAGCCGCAAGAGGCAGCACCATGCACACTCCTGCTATGCACTCATCGCAAGGCTAAAATAAAAAAGATAGTTTTGATAAATATTAAGATTTTTAATTAAACATTTTACCTAAATAGCTGGATCTCAATCCGTATTAAGTAAGTTGATTATGTATATGTATCTGGAAGTTTATGCAAGTTGCCTTAAGGGGGGAAGTCCATATAACATTTTCAAAAAATTGAAATTTTTTTTTTTCGATAATCTGCAAGTATAGTATGTTGAGCGTATATTAACGAGTCGACAAAAAAAAATCTTTTATATTAACAAAGTTATAGCTAACATAACGGGGCGGGCCCGAGTGCGCATTGTCAAGCGATCAAGCGTATTGTTAAATTTCGAGTGAAAAAGGTCTCTTTCATTATAATAACTAGAAATACTTCTTTTGACCTACAACCGGAAGACTTCTATGTACCTTAGTACATGTGTAATATTGGTATACGAACAAAAGTTAGTCGAGAAATATAGTTAGTTTAGCTGGAAAATTCGTAGTGTTCAGTTCATTTCAATACGCAAAAATGCCGAATTATCTAAAAGGTAAGCGAAGTAATGAAGTAATATTGCACAAAATAACACTAAAAAAGACGTTATCAGGGCAATCAGTTTACTGATAAAGCAGGTGAAAAAATTGACGCCAGTACAAATCATAATGAAAGTGCCAGTGGTCAAGATCCTCTAGACGTAGATTTAGCTCCATTACTTGGTGAAGAAATGAAACATCATCTTTCACCAATTTATGAAGATTTGTCCAAAGATGATTCACTTGAACGATGCCTTGGTGATCATACGCAGAACGCGAATGAAAGTTTCAACGCGACAGTTTGGCGACTATAGTCGGATTATCACCAAAACACACACATTGTGGACTAAGGGTAGTTGAAATTTCACCATATATTGCAGCTAGGATATTTATTGAAGGTTTTAGTTCAATATTAAGAATAATGAACCTTCTGAATTTGACTGTTGGTACTTATGCTAAAGCATATGCTGATAATACTGATGAGGCGCGAATAACTTGTTAGGATCGTAGCAGCCTTTCACAAATAAAAGATGCTGGTACAGCTCACAAACAACAACAACTTACAGAAAATCAGCTTTTTGAAGATAAGGCAGGACTATTGTATAGACCTGATATTGCAGATTAATCGGTAAGTAACTAAAACTGGTCATTTTCCTTTACTAAATCTTTAAACGCGATTATCTCAAAACTGTGTTTTCAAAAACTGCTCGTGTTGTAGCTCAAAAAGTTATGTATCGATTTGTCTGAAATTTGGTGAGGCATTTCTCTATATTATTATCGGAAGGATAAACCTAAATCTTTAGATCTTTCGCGTTTAAAAAGTATTTTCTGGAGCCTAAAATGTCAAAAAAATAGCCAAAAATTCAGATTTTTTTTTCAAAGGCTTGTTTTTCATTGAATTTTATACTTTTTTTTCAATTTTATAGGTTTATCCTTCCCATTGATATGTTCTTAAAAGAAAACATTAAAAAAAATTTTTTTCAGATCGACGGTTGATGAGTGAGAAATGCAGCAGTTTTGGACCTCGCGCCGGAGGCAGTCCACAAAAAGTTATGCTGAGCCGCCATTTTGAAATAATTTTTTTTTCAAATATTTTTTTTGTATTCTAAAAGGGTTAAATAAAGTTATGTCAAAGTTTAAAAACAATAAAATTATTCCATCACGTTTAAAAATATTTTTAAAATATGACCTATTTTCATGCGTCTATATGGACTTCCCCCCTTAAGGTAAAATGGCGCTTACACCTAGTTCATTAAATGTATAGTATTTTTTCTACTCACTTTGTGAAACATATGACAATAAGTCGACTTCAAAGCATGTGATGTAACTTCCTTTAGACCTTCCAGACCCAAAAGATCAGCTAGAGAAGCCAGCTCCTGCAAACTGATACCCTCAGGTGGTCTCGTAGCACCAGAATAAATATGGCACAAAGCAAAATGCACAGCTCCATAAGTATAACTTGAAAAAACATGATATTTACATATCAATTATTATTATTATTATGTTTACAGATCAATTATTATTATTTTACCCATCCATGACAATAACATTTCCCCTGGTCTCAACTTCATTGCCAGCAAGGGTGGCAGCAAAATATTGGCATCGTGATCTCAAAATGCATTTGTGAGCTCGGAGAACACGTCCCGATACGTCTATTGAAACGTCTGGACTTATTTCTTCCAAAAACATTCTCAGTAAGTCTTCACCCAGACGACGCGGCTGCCTGGACAAACTGTCTTCTGCACTCAGATCTGAAATAGTAAAGAAATTGATAGTAGAACATATTTTTATAGATTGGTTTTAGATACTGTTTTTTTTTTTTAATTTTTTGAAATATATTATGCTTTTAAAAGAAAATCCGAATTGCTAATTCTGGATTTCAAGTCAGCTTTGAATCGACATCAAAATTGTGGGAATATTAGTGAGTCAAAATTTAATCTATGAAAGCTGCTTTTTTAAAAAAAAACGCTGCATCAATTTAAAAACTTTATGAAATTCGATAAAAACTCGCATTGTGTCTATACAGTGTTGTGGGTGTGGCCCATTCCATCCAGAGATGGTGCCAACAATATGTAGGTACAGACGAAGACTTTTGATTTATTTCATTTCTTCTGGTACACTTTACATATAATCTGAATAACTGAATAATTGAGTATGATTGAGTATGATTGATTATGATTAACTAAAATACGACTCCATTGATAACTAAAGTACGACTGAACTCATGATCGACTCAAGAAAAAAAAAAACAAGTGCAAGACTAAATTACGACTGAACTTATAGAAAACTAAATGACTACTCAGCTTTTGATTGACTAAAGACCGAGTACTAACTAGCTAAAGACTGCGTCATTGCAAACCTTTCATGTGCTTGCTTCAGGGTGACTTTAAATTTGTAGATAACAATATTTTATGACTTCAATATCGTTGTAGAGTGCAATACCATGCTTTACAATAGATGACTAAGAATACATTGTGCCTTGTGCTCTAGAAAGGTATTTTATCAATAACTTCTGGGCTTGTGCAGGATATCTCGAGCTTACAATGTTGTAGCATATGAGTAATTCCCTAACTACGTTGTTTGTATTCTGACCGCTATATAAGGATTGATAATAATAAAAATTAAACAGTTAGAATAACATATGAATGAAAAAATTACAACAGTTAGAATAACAAATAAACATTCTAAAATATTATAAGATACAAAGAGTGTGCTTTATTTATAAAAATGCAATAATTTTTGAAATAATAGACCGCTCGCCTTTAGAATAAACAATATAAAAGGGCATATTATAAAACTTTATGATTCATGAAAATATTATCTAACTACATCAGAATTCCAAATTCTTAAAAATATTTATTCAATAAAGAATATATGAAAAACAATAAAAAATCGATAGGAATAATCAGAATTTTTTAGAGCAATGAATTATGAAAATAGGGGATATATATGATTATAAAATTTATTATTTTTACCGAAGAAGGTTTATGTTTTGGCGAAAAATTACGATTTACTATTTATGTTTTTTCGACGTTTTAAGTCATTTTGAATAGAATAAAACCAAATTTAGAAAAAGTATGTAAAATCGATTTTTGACCTTCGTCGAAGTTTTCTCAAAAATGGCTGGACCGATTTCAAATGCCGACGATTAGCCAAGTCGTTTCCTTGTAAGTAGCAGAAAAGTGTCAAATTTTTCATTAACATTAGAGCCTACAATCTTAAACTGATATATAGTCTGGAATAACATACTAAAATATAACGATAAGCGGTTTTATTATAGAAATTTACCAAAGTTTGAAATTAAGCGTGCTTAAGCGATTCTAATAAGAATCTATGCAGGGAATATCATATTGGCCTTTTTGTTTTATTTTGTGTTGTGTTGAATAGTCGGTACTATTGATTACAGTTGACGTTCACGCTTAATTAGAATACATATTTAGAACAAGAAATAAATGAAATAATGAAATAAATGAAACAGATATAAATATGTTTGAAAGACATCAATTGGAAAGTGAAAACTTAATTTTCGAAAGAAACAGGTGAATTAATTTGATCTAAATAGCGAAATAATCTCAATTCTTATTGATTGGTTGATTATTACGTATCAGCAGGTTCATGTACTTGCCTTCAGGCAAAATGCTTCTTAGTTAATAAATTAAAATATGTACTAAATACAGGATCCATTTTGACTTGGGGCAAGTTGTACGAACTTCCGGACACGTGGAAATATTCAATATGATGTAAATAATGAGAAGAAAACTTCAAATTAGGACGATAAAATTACCAATACTTCTCACAAAACTAATTAACTCGTTCTTATCGGGTTGTTTAAAACGGATTTTGAATTTTTGAAATTTTTGGATAGAAAGTAAAAAAATCGGCTCACATTCAAACACAAGCACATAGCGATTCAGAATGACTTGAGACACCAAGAAAACATAAAATTATCAAATCTAATTTTCTGGCAAAATTAAACTTCTCCTTCGGGAAGTTGAAAAAGTGTATCAACTCACCCATTCCTGATTTTCCCATGCTGGAACTCAAACTGGAACCAACACTGATGTCCGAGGTGAAGTCATCGAGTTCCAGAGGACTACGATTAAAATGCATGTTGACATTGACACCATTCGGTAAACTACTACTGAAACCTAGAAATAATAATAAAAAATTATTTATTAAAAAAAATCATTCATTCGACTTTTGGAGAATATGAGATGATTGAAAAAAACATTATCACTAAATGGAAAAAAAATATTATCACACTTATTTAATTATTATAAAATTGAAATATTTTTTTTTTCATTTTTTACCTTAATGACACCTAATAAAGACCGCTTAACACTATCAAAAGGCATCAAAAACTATATTTAAAATTATCAAGAAAATGCGTCTTCACTCCTCTACGTACTATTTTGAACTCAACATTTTCATAACAGATTTTTCATTTTATATGTATGTTCATAGTCTGTAATCAATTTGTAAAATATGTGGGCTATCTGTGACCCTATTAGCTATTACTATGCATGTTTATAATATGTAATCCTTAGTCAATATAAAAGTTGTTTTTTTAATGAAAACTGATTCTGCAAACAATTTTCTTCTCAGGTTATTATCTAACAGTATGTGTAAAATTGTAGGTGAGATATCAAAAGCATGTGTCTGATGTATATTTTAGGAAAAACACAGACAAAACGGTATATATACGGCCTTATTTAAGAATTTGGCTAGTTTTAGTAATGTTTCCGCCATAGATAAGGAAAGTTTCCGCGACTGTAATAACTTAAAATAAGAACATAATAACAGTCATGTCAAAGTTATAGTAATCGCAAAAAAAGGATAATAAAATTTTTTATATATCTTTACGTTTTAGAGGTTTCTGAACAATTTGGAATACCTTTAAAATAGATATATGTAAAAATGGATGGATGTGTGTGTTTATGTGTTTGTTTTGTAAAGTTTTTTTAAAAATTTAGATTTCGGGACGGAAAGTTCCAGCAATTTGCCTTAAGGCACGAGTTTATATTAGAATCAATGAACTTATGCGAGTTCTAGTGATTTTGATCAATTTTATTGCAATACTGAATTTTGATTATTTATCAATTTTTACAACGTCAACGTCGAATGAATTAAAAAAAATTAAAACATTTAGGATTTTTTGAAAAAAAAAATGAAGCTCCTAGTTCTTAAGTGTAATATATATATATATATATATATATATATATATATTTTATTACCTTTGCTCAAATGAGGAAACAGCCTGCTGAGACTTCTAGAATTTTCTTCAGACGTGATCAAATTAGTGTGATTCCCAATAGACCTCGACATAAAATACTTGTTCTCATAATTATTAGCAAACAATTTATAAACCCTATTCGAACCTGTGGAACTCGACATCAGTTTATCATTAACCAGATCCACTTTTGGCAAAGGCTTATCCAAATCCGACAACCTGACAAATTTACCAGAATCCGTCATCACCGTGTTCATCTCTGTGTTTTCTGAAACAGTCGCTAGTAGCTGTTTTTGTTTTTCTATCTTGGCTTGTAAGGTTTCCATAGTATGGGCAACGTTGTTGATAACTTTGTTGTTAGGAGACTCATCCTCTGGTAAATTTAAAGTGTAGCCTATTTTAACACCTTGAGGAGTTTTGACTTTATCCTTGCTCCTTTTCAAGTATTCATCACTATCCAAGTTTAATGTATATCCTATTTTTGGAGCAGGTTTAGTCTCGGTTACAACTGCAACTTCAACAACTTTTGTATCATCCACAACTTTTCCATCAACAGTATCAGGATTCTGCTCGTTCTGGTAAGTCAAATCTTCATCAGTGTCAGTCAACACACCTTCAGTCTGCGATCCTGGACTACTTTTATCAAAAGTTTCATTTATCTTACAATCCTTTTTATGTTTTTTATTAACATCGCTCATTCTAGCGTAGCCGCTGCTTGATCCTGAACTCAAACCAGAACGTCCAGAAAAGTCGCTCAAGTTTGATTCAATTGAATAAGTGGAGCCAACTTTTGATTTTATTAAAGTTTGTGGAAGACTGTTTTCTGAAACGCTTTGGGCACGTTTGTGGAATCTTTGTGGCGGTTTTGGTGCTTCAGGAAGGTTCCAGGAATGCCGCTTAGTTGATTCATTGATGTCCATGTTTGGTAAAGTGTCTTCAAGTTGTTTGACAATTGGAACATTGTCTTGGTCAACTGGTTTTTGTTTTTCAACGACGGTGACGTGAACTTCATTTAAGGTTTTATTTATATTTGCTTCACCATTTTGTTGATTTATTCCCAGAGGTTCCTTAACAAATTCAGGCGCTTTCAATTGTTTTAAGTTTATCTTGTCTCTTCTACGTATTTGAATCAGCCCATCAGCCTTGCCATCCTGTGCACTGCTATCCAGAAAACTAGTAACTTTCTTATCATCCAAATTACGTAGACTAAGAAACGTTGTTGTCCCATTTTTATTTCCACTTGCTTCACCTGTTGACTTTTGTGAGTGTTCAGGAGTTTTAATAATCTCCTTTTTACCATTCCGTCTCGGCAAGGAATTAGTGTTGTCTCTACCTAAACTTCTAGCCATTCCCTGTTTAGATTTGGTTGTTCCATTGACTTCAACAGCAATACTTTTTGATCGTGCTCTCTGGTGTAAAGACATAGCCAATCTATCAGGGATGCTTTTGACACACTTTTCTCCAAAATCTATGAACATTGAAAACATAGATTTGTCGGCAGATGGAGGTGTTTTTGGTTTAGCCGGTTCTTCATGAGACAAGTCAATAAAATAACCCAAGGATCTTTTCTCCTCTGAAGAACTTCTGCCTTTGCTTTCGTCACTGGAGTTGTCACTATTTGATTTTTTATCGTTAAAATCGACGAAAAATCCTAAAGAAGATTTATGTGAAGACGTAGAGTCGCGCCTGGATGTTTCACGATTCAATCTCGAATCCAAAGAAGAAGTGCTGGAACAGTCACTCACATCAACAATCCAAGCACAACTTGTCGACAGCTTTCTTCTTTGTTTTTCTTCAAACTTCTCTTGCACTTCGTAAGCAGCAGATGCTCCTGACAAAATAGGAGTAGCGTCGAATTTTTTTCTGATCAACGGACTTGCACGAATCTTAGGAACAAAATCTTTAACACTGGCACCACCTGAAATAATAGGTGACGCTTCTGAGTACTTTTGGGTTTTATATGGTGAATCCTTACAGTCAACTTCGATTATCGAATTATGTGGTGTATCCGGTAAAACAATATTGTCTGTGAGAAAGTTTTTATCAATTACAACAGGTGCTTCATCTGATGCATCAGTATTTGATGAATCGTTTAATGTGAAAGTTGTGTTAGCTTTTGTGGATTCCAGTTCATTGTTGGTGTCAGAAGTTGTAGATTGTGTTGAGTCGGCTTCAAGATTTTCAATATCCAAACACTTTGCAGTCATATCATCATTATTTTGTTGCAGGTCGTTTAAAGGACTACTCGATGGCGTATCCGAGCTGATTTTATCAACAGTCAGCCTACACATTTCAAACCGAGTATGAAAATCTAAATCTTGTTGTTCGAAAAACTCCGTCACACCATTATGCTCTGAATAACTGTTTGATTCCGAGGTACTTGAATCTTTGTGTTTATTTTTCTTTATTGTTTTAGTTTCAAAAGACTCCGACACTGATAACTCGTTTTGAAACTTATCAGGCTTAAAAATATTAATAGGATTGGAGTGATTGAAGTTTAATGATGTCGGTTTAATTGTTGAAGTACCAGCTTCAAAATTTGTTTGCCAAACGTCAACATCATCAACCAAAGATGCGGCGTCTATAAAACAAGCATTATGTTTAACAGGCGTGGAGTGTCTTGAGGCAGGATAGGATCTATAACCAGTATTAACTTTTATTTTGCCATCTCGTGAGCAAAAATCTTTCTCGTTCATAAGAAACGTCGCACACATTTCTCTAGCTTCTTGGTTGCTCCTCATAGGAAAAACGCTCTCCCACGATCCAGTTTCAGAGGAAATCGACGAAGATTCCAAATTAACAATCTCTTCGTTCTGTCTCTGCTTCTCTTCTTTAGTTGAAGACTTAGATATCACTGAATGTAAACTCTGATCATACTTTTTATTCTGGTCATCCGTTAAGTACATAACATCCTCCATCATGAATTCATCAGGCGTCATATCAGCTGAGTGCTCATGCCGCAAAAAACTAAGATCCTCCTCCGGGGAATAAGTATCATGTTCATCAGACATGACACGACTAGATGATTTCAAAACTAACGTTTGACTGCTGTGGGACACAACAAGCTCCATAGGTTTATGTCTAGGTGTCGACTTTCCTGAACTGGTAGCCTTGGTACCACTCGGCCGACCTGAGTATTCATCACATTTATTAGCATAACGTCTGGAGTACACCTCATCATCTACATCTACATCGTTATTGTACAAGAGAACATCAGACTGTCTCCTTTGCAGATATTCACATGTATCTTCATCTTCAATCTCAGTCAAATTGTAAGTGTCGGCAGAATCGACACAGGAGGCTTCACAACTGGAACGCTCTCTAACGCTGTTCATGGAGGTGCTTCCAGTCTCCAAACCAGAATCATGGTTTAAATTTAAACTGTCCATTTCGATAAGTACAAAAGATTTATACCAAAATATATTTTAACATCCATAACACCTGCAAATGAA